TATTTTTTAAATATTTTGATAACTCTTTTGATAATAATTAAGAATTGGAACATGTTAGGAGTTTTGCTGTCTGTGGCATCCATCTGTACTGCAGCAGGCTAGAATTTCTTGATCCCCAATTTGTGTATCTTGTCTGTGCTTCTTAACTGAGAGACCATTATTTCAACATTTTGGAAATTATATTATAGGTATAAGGTAGATTTCTAGGATCTTCACCCTTCAGCTCCTCTACCCTGTTTTTTGCCCTCCACTCACATATAGGTGCCTTAAAATTCAGCCATTTCCCCATCACAAACCTATAGATGGATAGGAAAGGTTAATTTTATGTCTTATGTTTTTATAGGTTTTTTTTTTACCTCTACCTGTTGCAGAGCTATAAAATAACGACAAATCAAGATCTCTAACTTTTTTACTGCAAGTACTTGGCTTTATTACTGTGCTGTAGATATAATGAAGTGAAAGCGTGTTGGGGGAGTTGTTCTAAATTAACTGTGGCTGTAGGTTTTGGACAGATAAATGTTTTTTTTTCTTACAGTTCCAGAATAACCCAGCCTGACCACATCCTTTTCATCTCTAGCAGCTGATACTCGTTGATAAAATTTAACATTGAAGCAAAAGTGTAACCATCCCTACCACCTCTTAGCTCCTGAAAGGCCAAACTGAATCTCCTCTGGCTGCTACGAAGTGAAGGGTTCTCTGTCATCTTCCTGCTTCTGAGTTCTAGCTCTTGGAGGAGCTCCCAGTTCCTCACAAGGGTTGTTGTTTCTGGTGCTTGGAAGGGGATGCAGAAGAAATTAAAATGGTTATACAGCCATTTGGAAGGTTTAAGTGAGTGCCTCAGAAGGTCCTGGATGTTGTTGAAGACATAAATTGTTACAGTGACTGCAGGCTTGGCTGGCTTCTTCAGCCAGAATCTGTGTGTGTTCAGTTTTTTGTCACAAAATATTTAGTGTTTGAGGATGTTTCATGTAGTTTGCTTGTTACTTGTCTGCAGAAAGCAGAGCTGCAGAGTGGCAAGGTAAAAATTCTGGAAAGGAGCCAGTATCAGCAAAAATTGTGCTTGTCCAATTTGGTACTTCTTGTGGAGCACTTGCATTATGTAAACATTGGCTGTCTGGGCATAGTTGGTACCATCGTGTACATCCATGCATGATGTGCATGGGAAACAGGTGTTTCTCCCTGTTGCTGATTCCAAGCTTTGCAGTAATAAGTCGATACTTGCACGGTTTGGAAGCTGCAAACTGTGGTAACAAATCCTGTCTTATCAGGACAAACTAGGTATTCCCATTTTTTTTTGTCTTCTGAGTGTTTCCCACGCAGGATCTGCAGTAGGGACCATAGGGATGTCCCCTGTCACTCTGTGACCACGGTGTGTTGACAAAGGTCCTGCTTTTAGCAGGTGTTGGTGTCTGTGTGTGCGCAGGAGCTCAGCCTTTCCATGCCATTGGTATTTGTACATTTGTGGAGCTCCTTGTGCAAGAGGTGTAGCTGCTAGATCCGGAGAGGACATCCATTAGCATAAATAGGAGTTAAGATTGGAGCTCTGGCACTGCAGACGATCCTATCGCCCTGAGAAAAGAGCTTTTCTCCTGAGGAGGAGGAGGGAGGCTGCCAGCACCCTGTCTGGGAGACAGGTAGGCAATCCCTTGGTACAACTTGCTTTGAATATCTGTTTAAGTCACTTCTAAAGATAAGAAAATTGTGGAAATGGGCTTTTATTTTTTCGGTTGTAGTTTGTTCCATGTGTATTGGAAGAAAAGAAAGGTAAACTAGTGTGTTTTTTTTTTTTTTTTCTTTTAGGAGGTGATAATGTTTCAAATATGACTTGGTGGAGTGTTCAGATAAATGAGTAATTTTTAGGTTTCAAAAGAATTATTGTGGATTCTTGCAGGAGCATAATAGAAGAGAAAATACCATTTAACTGTAAGAGATTTGGGAAAGTATGGGAGGAGTCTGAAGTATTGATTCCTAGGACTTTAAATTCATCGTGTAATGTCCATTGTAAAACGTGATTCAGGCCTTCTATATAATTTAAAACATGAGAAGAATAAGAGCCGAGCCTTTTGTTCTTGATTAAGTATTCCAGTTGTAATTGCTTTGTGAATAATAAGTTTAAATAGATAATAATTACAGGTGCAGTTTTTGGGTAGTTATCCTTGTCTTGTTTGATCAATATGAAAAAGGTGAATCTGGGTTTTAATTACCAAGATTAAGGAGTTAACCCTGAAGCTTAAAGACTGAAAGTATCTTATTACTGAAACTTGACAAACTGATGAACGCTTGAATATTGTGTGTTCCCTCACCCCCTCCCATTCCCTTGATTTTTGTCTTTTCCCTCCCAGCAAAATGACAGTATCACAGTAGCAACTGCAGCAACAATCCTGCTGCTGCTAAAGCTCTCTCTAGTGATAACCAGGGCTGAATATCAGCAGGCTGAAGTGAATGCTGAAGTGATGCCTTTGGCCTGTTTTCCTAAGGCAGTGAGTAGCTAGTGATGGAGAGTCAGCTGTGAGTGCTGCTCTGCTCATTGTCTTGTAGATGTGTCCTTCAGACAGATTCTGTTCTCCTTTCAGGGTTAACTCAAGAGTAATGACTTATGCAAAGTAAGAGCCTGATTTATGCAACTACCCTGATAAACAGTGAGGCTTTATCTTGTAATCCTTTCATAACCAAAAGTGCAAATGAGATTTCTAATACAGACTTCCAATTAAATTAGATAAAATGATCTGGAATTCAGCTTCTGTTCAGCAAATCTTGAATCTGCCTACCTCTTGATTTCCTAGAACTTGTTTAAAATTCCCCTTGCATGTGTGTTAAACATGTTTTCATGTTAACTGGAGATGGAATACAGTAAATGTTCTTATATGGAATATCTTAATTTCTGACCTGATCTTTGCCTTCTATGCAATTTTGAAAAATGAGTTTAACTATACCAAAAGAGACTTTTTTTTTCCCCCCCTCCACTGTGCACTTGATGACTAGGCTTAAACAGCAAACAATTTAGAAAAACATCAACTTATAACTTAATTATAAAGGGATTGTAAAAACCTCCTAGTTTGTTCCAATTCATTTTTGGAGGAAGGACTGTAAAAGAAACATATTTACAGAAAAGCAAGGGACTTCCCTAGTATGTGCTTTGTGAACAGATTACTTACTAAGAAGTAATTACAAAGTCATCTGGTACAGAATCCCTCTGAGTAAAAGCACAAGTAAGTGGAAATTTGTAGTAAAATCAGAACTTTGGCTGAAGGAAGGTGTGTGAACACATGCTAAAGAAATACGTGTGTAACCACAAGCATTGAATAACTCTGATGATGGAGTTCTGCTGAGATCAACTCAACAGTGGCCCCCATTAAAATCAAGTTTTGCTCCGTAAGACTAAAGGATTAAAAGAGGTTAAATACTCCATGATTGTGAGCACAGCCCTCACTTCAGAGTATCTTATTTCACAAGGGTGTCTTTGGTGAAGTAGTTGATGAGTTAGGCTGAATTCTGCTAATAAGTTATTGGGTGGACATGGATTAGTTGGACCCAATTCACCATCTTCCCAAAGCAATTGAGTGAATACTGGACTTGGGTTTTGTCATTGTCATCTAAAAGAAAGTGACAGAACAATTTCCATGTCTGGTATCAACCTGAATTTTGATATTAATGTGATCTAGTGCTGTTAAAGAGATGATATGCAGTATTAGCTAAGTCTCACCTAAATCAATTTAATAATGCTCCTTACCTTGAATGCATGTGCTGCCAGCGGTAGTAATATATCCAGGAGGAGATCCAGAATATATCCAGGAGCTTGAGGAGCACACACTCGAGGGCAGGCTTTCAGTATCTAGCATATTTCAGTGATTAAGAATAGTGAGGAGAACTGTTTGAAAAGCAGGTCTACTTTATTTTTGTACACAGAGCTATACACTCAGCTATGTAAACTTTGACCTAACTAGATTGGTTACTTGAACTGGTATTGTGTTTCATTAGGTAAATGATTTAAAGAGGACAAATCTCTTCATTGGTAGTTGGGAAGTTTTTTTTCTAATCTTCAGTCCTGAAGATGTTAAACTAATTTGAAATGCCTTGTTATTTTTCAGAAAGTCTCTTAAATCACTGAGGGTCAGCCACAAGTTTGCCATGTTCTTTGCCATAGAGTTTTGGGTCTTCTGGTAGCATTTACCTATGCTGCAGCTGTGACTCGGGCCTGGTCCTTCAGATTGATTTAGTTTTGTTGTATTTCACGTGTAGAGAACACAGTATTACCCTGAGTCCATCCCCACTATTGTGTGGAAAGTGTAGTGAGAAACTTGAGGTCTGGCATATTACCAGGGCCAAGCCAGAGACTGGCTAGTTGATGTTGGATTAGTGGGCCCATTTTGATGAGTCTTCAAAACTTAGTTGTTCTAATTAGCTTCCAAGCCTGCCAGTATGTTTTTCAGCTCCTGGAGGTGTGTTACATTTTCTTGGTCCCTGGCTTACATCTAGTAAAGAAAATGAACTTGCAGAGAGTAGATAAGAATGCTGGTGAAGTCTAAAACATGGATATGCCTGTTTTTGCGATCTGAGGGAAGAATCCCAAATCTTCCACATGACTGGGAAGTTTGGAGTAGATATGCTTTAAGGTTAACTTGCACCCAAAGCAGTTTACAGTCTCTACTCATCTTTTGAAGCAGTATCTTTCACAGATAAGGTTTCCCAATGGCTATAACCTTGGACCACAAAAGCAAACAGACTGTATCCTTTGGAGATATGCTGGCTAGGTGTTGGCCACATAGGGTAGGTCATTGGCCCTTGTGGTGCTTGAAAATGTGGGCATTCTGCTGATAGCATTCATTGATTTGCTTTTGTGGAAACAAGGCACAGATTAAATGAGACATGATGATATGATATAATATGACATGACCCAGACTTGTCTTTCTGGCAATAACCTTGTTTAGGTGAGTTAAATATTACTTCCTTTGTTGCTGAGTCTCTCTAATCTCTCCAGTTCCCAGATTTTTTTTTTTTTTTTTTTTTGAGCTTGTGATGGTGTCCTTGCAATGTGGCAATTTGAGCCCTGTATGAGTGACTTATGTAATGATTTTTTGTCAGCTGTGGATGCAGTGGGGAGTGTGTGTGGTGTTTCAAGACTCTTGGTGCACTCAGATTTGATGTCTGGACAAATTTCATTGTCTGAATATACCGAAACAAAATGCTCCTACCACCTTTTTCTGCTTTTTTCTCCTGCTAGTGCTGGGCTCAAGCTGTCAGAGGGAAGGAGGAAATTAATTTGTTGGGCTGTGTTTTTGCACAACTTTGTGGCTTGCTGCTGGTGTTTGAGAGGTTGGGAAATGCACATTTCCCATTTCCTGTGATGAGCGATAATCTTGATAGGATTGAATTTGGAGGGAGTGTGCTGTTGACCTAATGTTTGTCAGTGATAACTAGAAGACAGAGCATTTAATCTCTAGCAAGGACACACATGCACACACTCTAGTTGCTGGATTTAGCATTTAAACATTCAATAGAGCTGCAGCAGGCTTTCCTGGCACTTGGAAAGCACATCTTTAAGCATCTTGATCTGTGTTTGGACAAATCTGGGAACTGATAATTTTCCTGTTAAAAACAGAATTGTCCTTGTTTTGAGAGTCAGAGCCCTCTGAAGCAGTGAGTTAAATATTGCTGCAGTAGCTCTGGAGGCAAACAGAGCTGCTGTTGTTTGCTCCATAATAGCACTTGCTCAGCCTCGGACACGAGAATTTTTTACAAGATGGGGAATGTTGGCTAGGATCCTGGAGTGTTGGCTTGGTGGTGGTTTTTCTTTTTTTTCCTGAAGTGCTTATAAACTCTTGGCTTACCAGAGGACAGCACCCTTTGCACAAGCATCTCTGCGAAGCATCACCGTGGGCTTAGCCCTGAGCCTGTGAATTCAGAAGGATCCCAGCAGCAGCTTCACGTAAGATTCCCCTAGCAAAGGCTGTTTGTACCTATGGGTAATGTGGGAATTTTGAATATTTCTGTTCTAGAGAGTTCTTTACAGAATTCTTATTAAGCCTTTCAAGTGTCAGATTTCTTTATTCTAGGCTGTTTTTGCTTTTTAGCTCAAAAAGGTGTCTGATACAGGGTTTTAGATATCCCACTTTGTGTTTGGGAGGAGTTCTCTGTGTGTGTTTGAAGAGGTAGCTGGTGACAGATGATTGGATAATGGTGACAATTATGTATTGCTGGTTAACAGCTATTGTAAACATACAAGATAAAGTGATTGCTGACACTTAACAACCTTAACATGTTCAATTTGGTTTTGCTGTGGTGTCTTGCAAGGTAGATTTTTTTTTTGCACATGCACCAGCTTGTTATGTGTTAGAGACTAAACTAAATTTCTGACAGGAACTATGTGTATTTTTTGACAGTTTTATTTACAAACAGAATTATAAAATAGTTCTTCTAACCTATAAATTCTGTGATTCTTCAGTAATTTGCTGCTGTAAACAACTTTTAAAAGTAATATATTATACCTGTGAGGGAAGACCCTTCTGAGTTTGAGATGAGGAGTTGCCAGCAGTGCTATGCTAACTGGCATGTGGAGATGCATTCTTGGAGAAGGCAGGGAAAGGTAGGTGGAGAATGGAACATTCTTTCCTTTCCCTGTGCTTGAGATAGCCTTTCTTTCTAGCAGAGCAAAGCATAGGCTGCTGGATTCAGACTTTGATCATTCACACCTAGATTCCATACATGGTTTTTACCCTTTAAATCCAATTTGGTGCTCTTAGGCAGTTCCCTCACAATCCCTGTGTTTCTTGCTGAAATGTTGATAGCAATGTGTGCTTCTGAAAAAGTCACCAATTATGTTTTCGAGCTGGAATCTTCCCAGAGTAATGGAAGTAGAAGACAATCTCAGTGTGGGAAGTTGCTGTGAATAAAGTCTACTAAAGTCTGGTTTTTGGAGAACAGGATAAAGAGAAATGGGATTGAGAGTTTCTTAAAGGAAACATTTATCAGTCCTAAAAATAAATAACTAAATAAATAAAATTAGCCTGCAAACATATAAGTGTTGCTGCCTCCTAAGTGTGAATGTGAGTATTTGTGGATGTTCTGGCTTTTTAATTGAACCCATTTAATCATTATGGTTCATCATAGCTCTGGATGTCGATGTTTTGTAGGTCTGGAATTCTGATTTCAGCCTGTTGCACAAAGGAATATGGTCAGAAATGTCTGAGGCAGGAAACTTTGATCTATTTTGTGCCAGTTTTCTTTACACCACATGAGCCTAAATATGGTCAGATTTTGCAGTCACTTAAAAAGCTGGACTACAGCAACACAGGTATTTCCACTGACAGCATAACTTTTCAGTGCTTTAGCTTTCAGAAACAGATGTTGGACCATAGCCATGTATTGGATGTTGTCCAAGGCTCCTGTGTGGTTGTATCCAAAGACTCTGCCCATGTTAGCAGGTTTGCATGCTGAGGTTGTGGCATTGTGTCAGAAGCAGGATTAAACCTTTCTTTGAGGAAGGACAGATGAATGGATAGTATTAGATACTCTTATAGAGTCTCAAAGCGTGAAAAGTAGAAATTATGGCTACTTAGGTAAATTAGTAAGAAGGGTATGTAGGAACCATGACACACCTGAATCTTGGTGACAAAATTGCAGAACTAATGATTGCAAGAGTTTTGCCTCCCTCTTTGAGGGAACTGAAATGCTGTCCTAAATATGGGAGTGATCATGCAGATCTTTAGGAGGAGGTGAATGGTGTACACAAAGACCAGGAAAACAAAAGTTACGAGGAAGACATACCTGAAGAGCATTAACTGTGACTTTGAGCCATGGTAAAAACAACAGGCCTGTATCTTAACTGAACAGGGAAAAATGACTCACAAGCATGCTGTGTCTTGCACTCCATGCTTCATGGCAGGAGCTGTGCTTTCAAATTTGCATTAGAGTCTCTTAACTGTGTGGTGAAAGTGGAGTAATGTCAATAGCTTTTTCTCTTGACCTTCAAAGAAACAATTCCAGATGATGTACTGTGGCCAGTGGAAATAGTTGTGCTTGTTCTGCTCTAAACTTGCTGCTGTATCCTACTGTCTGTTGTTAGATGCTTCCCTTCTCAAAGAGGGGAGTCAAAATAAGGATTTGGAGTATCTGATGTAATACTTGGTACCCAGACTTGTGAAACCAGGACTTGTGCAAATAGTAACTCCTTTTTAGTGAGTAATCATTTGGAACTTGTTCAGAGACAGTTGAGATATGAGTGCATGAAAAACAGCACAATGCTTTGATATGGTGGGTATCTGACAAATAGGTGTTCCAAAAACATTTGGAATTTTTCAGGCAAAAAGGACAAATTAGCTGTTCACTCCTAACATACCTTCTGTGCATCCCCTGCTAAGTGCTTGCTTGCAGTATCTTGCTGTCTTGAAAGAACTGAGCATATTTAGAAGTTGCACCTTTATTCCTGGGTGGCAGGTGAAGAAAGGTTCCCACCCTGTTAAGGTGTTCAGTGTTGTAATCCATATTTGCCTAAATAGCATTCCATCTGTGTTTAAAGATTCTCAGTTATGTCGGGGTTTTTTTATTACTGTAGTTTTATGATTCTATCCCTGAGATGAGCTCAGTTGGTCAGAGCATGGTGCTGATAACACCAAGGCTTGTCAATCCCCTTAAGGGCCATTCACTTGAGAGCTGGATGATTCTTGTGGGTCCCTTCCAACTCAGAATGTTCTGTGACTGTGGTCCCTTTTTGGGAGTGTTTTGTTTGTAGCAGTTTGTGTGGAACTGTCGTAGAGGACTATAATTAGATATCCACTACATCAGCTCAGGATTTTTATGAGTTTAATCAAAGAGATTGGTAAAATGTGGAAGTGTGTCCATAATGCTACATTCTTATCTAGTGAAAGTCAGCTGGTTAAAGGGTCACAGTAAAGATGTTGCTATAGCTGACTTAAAAGAATGGCAGCACTGTGGTTGAGTCCTAGGGATTCTAAAGGCCAGGTTCTCACTTTATTATGAGACATACCACATTTGTCTTTAAAAAGAGTTTCAGTTTCTCTTAGCAAGAATGACATCATTTCCAAGAGGTTGATGAAGGGAGTGGAAAGAATCACGATTCTCAAGGTTAACTTTACTAACTGAAGCAAAAGCTAAAGCACTTTCTAGCTTTGTACTTAATTTGAGTAATAATCCCTTACCCTTCATTTTATTAGGAGGTGTATTTGTAATGGAGCATCTTGGTTTGTTGAGAATTCTAATGACTTTGTTTTTTTTTCCTGCCAAATGACTTAATGGATGAAGAAGTTGGAAAACTCTTTTATCTGTGGATCTAAATGGGTTTTTTGTAGTAAATGTAAAACTATTAGATCCCATTCCAAACAACTGACTCAGCCTTCTCTCTGGTTTAGTTTAATTGGTAGGGAGGCTCATCCTAACAGTGACAGGGGGCTCTGCTGGCACAGTCTAAATTCCAGGACCGGCAATTGGGATGCTTGGCTCCCTGGCTTCTGTCAGTGGGTTTGAAGAATCCACTTGTGAGTATATTTTAATGATGCAACCTGTAGTTTACATGGAGCAGCCCCTTGGAGTGGTAAAGGACCATGCACACAGAGGCAAAAACAGACTGAAGTTGGGCTATTTTCCTGTCTGAGTGGATGTCTCAGTCTTTAAAACACTGTGAAGAGGGGCAGTTTAGAAAAAGATCTGGAATGATTGTAGTGACCCACAGCAGTCTTTCAGAATGTTGTGAAAAAAGCTGGTTATGGTGAAAAAAAACCTATTAAGCATTTATTTCGGGTATAAACAGCACAGATATAATTATTTAATCTTCTGCAAATCTGAACTCCTTAGTAAGTTCTTTAACATACTTTTTGTTTTTATCTTTCATAAAGGTCACAATGGTTTCCATTCCTGAATTCTACGAAGGAAAAAACATCCTCCTGACAGGAGCTACAGGATTTGTGGGAAAAGTGCTTTTGGAAAAGCTGCTTAGATCCTGTCCTAAAGTGAAAGCAGTGTATGTGCTGGTAAGGAAAAAAGCAAAGCAGACACCTGAAGCACGAATAGAAGAAATTACCAGCTCTAAGGTATGTGTCATATGCTCACAAAGTTCATTTTTGTCCTTCATTACGATGCTCTCATTTCATTTTGAGAACAGCTTCAGTTTGTCTAAAGCAAAATGCTGTTGTTAATTTTTCTTCTTTTTAATTCTAACAGAAATACAAAATCTAAGACATGGCAGTGCTTCTATAGCTGCTTCAAGATGTTAGTCTCTAGCAAGGCCAGTAGTTGAAAATTATCCTGTATATAATTCAGAATAATATATAATTCCTGTATATAATTCAGAATCCTCCTCAGGAGGAGGATGTTCAGCTGTAATGCAGAAATGAGAAGTAAAAATCTATTTTAGAGCTTGTTAAGAGAATATAAAATCAAGTGCAAGAGGTAGTGGACTGGGACTTATAAGATGGATTGAGACTCTTAAAGATCTCAAACAAGTCACTCTTTCACCTTGTGCCTTCTGTTTTTTTCTGGAATGTGCTGTAATTAAGCAGTAAATAAGAATGTGTCATCTCAACAGAAACTTACATTTGTAAGTGGAACAGAAATGTTTGGCTAAGCAGATTGTTACAGATTTCTGTTGGTCAGCCTGTGACAGCTAGAAAGGCACTGAAGGTCTGTGCTGTGGAGTTATCCAAGTGGCTCTCTAAATGATTTTCAGTGCAAGCTGGGTCAAATACTTTGCTCCTGAAAAGACTCATTACCTTGATATTCTGGTGAGCTATGCTGGCCCTTCTAAGTGTAGAATCATCCATCTCTGTTGCCCACCTTTCTCCTTGGAGAGTATCCTGTTGATAATGGGAAGGATGAACAGGATGAGGAGTGATTTCTAGCGTGAACTTTGTTAAAGCAGAGTTTGTTTATTTCTATCTAGGCCTTTCCCTTATGAAACACAGGTATCAGCACTATAATTTTCTATTACAATGAGATACAATGTAGTCTGTACAAAGGGTGTTCTTAGAAGGAGCTGAAGGGGAATCAATAAGGAACTATGAATGCACTTAGGGCTAGGTTGTTAAAAGTACAGCAATGGATTTCTACAACTCTGGCTAGCTGGGATTATAGCAGATGTGAGGATGGCTGTTCCCTAGTTAATTATTTTCTGTAACCAGTCAAAAAACTGTCTCGTTCCTCAAAATCATCTTCCTGTAGTCTTGTGCAATGTCATAAAACACAACAGAATGAGTTACAGTGGGGTTTTATCTTAAAATTCAGTTGCACATTCTCTCTACATAAAACCTTCAGTTGATCACTGCCCTGAAACAAGGAAAATATCTCCGTCTAGACTAAGCTCTGAGATGCAAAAGGAAAAAATTCTCAATCCACTTTTTATATACAGCATTACCCAAAGAAAGGTGGGGAGTGTTTGGGCAGAGAAGTAGCCCTGGTGTGGACTTAAACTTTGGTAAGCTGTAAGGCTCAGTATGGCTTTTAGGAAACCTGTTATAAAAGGCTTTTAAATTTGAGTCAAAGTCTGCTTGTAGTCTGTACCAGCTCCCGTTGAGATAAAAATCTGATGTGATTTGAATCTTGGTGAGCACTTATTGCTGGAGCAGGTTTACAGCAGAAGTCCTGGTAAGCAGAGTTATTGCTTGAGGCAGGAACCTGCAGGGATGGAGTTGCTCATGTATGTAGAGATGATAGAATAGGGACAGATGTTTGTTCTGTCTTCATCAAATGATTAGAAGAGATTGAAAGTTATTGTTTAAATGGCTTTAATGTCATCAAGATTCTTCTGAAAGTCTATGAAAATTTCTACAAGATCTACTGTCTTAAGCTGTCGAGTTGCAAGGCCACTGCCAGTAATTCTTCACAATTTAGGTGGACTCATTAAGTGTTCTGCAGATGTTTCAACATTCTGTTTCTTGAAATGTTTGAAATCTAAATGGGTGAATATGGTAATAAGTAAAATAAATGTGAAATAAACTGGGCTACAAATAGCAAAACAGTGTTGAGTTTCCTACTTTCTTTGGACTTCAGATATCTAATTCCTCTGCTGATTTGCCATATGTATTGCATACAGTCTAGGTATTTCTTCTCCTTAGTACTGGAGTCAGTGCTAGTGAGAGGTGTGTAGGAATAGTGCATGACTATGGATGTGAAAAGGGATATAACAGATGTAATAGATGCATGAAAAATAAGAGCTCGTCCACGGTCCTGCTTTTCTGTTACAATGTAATATCACACATTAATATGGTTAACAGGCAGTTGCTTCAGCTCCCTGGAGGAAGGTGCCATCATTCCAACTAAAAACATAGCAGGCTTATTTTTAAAAATCATACAGAGTTTCTGCCATTAGGTAAGAACTGTTTGCTGTACCCAGAAAAGTTGCAGAGGCTTTAAATGCTGTCTTGGCAGCTTTGTCTTATAAGGTGAAGCTTTATGCTTGCAAAGTCCAGTTGAGTGGAGTGGAGATGTCCTGTGTTCTCACTGTGGAGTTAGCACTGATACTTTGGGTGGCCACACAATGAGCTGCATTAGCTCATGTTTGGGCTGAAAAAACATCTCTAAAAAAGGAGCTGGACTGAGCAGCTGCTCACACAGCTCTGGGGCTTCTTGCTCTTCCAGTGTCAGAGAAGCAACAGGAATGAAGAAATTAGAAGGACCAGTCTCTGTGGTAGAAATATAAACTTAGATTGCCTGAAGTGTTGTGAAACTGCACCTTTAGATGACTTAATTTATAGTTTAAAATTAATTGTCATTCTGTAAGGGAATGTCTTTTGACTATTTGTGTTTGGTATAACCTCATGCTTGTGTGAGTAAAAGAAAGTACTGCTGTGATTTTCAATTATACTGACTGGTATTGAAGCAGTTGAAAGATATTGTCCTCTGGACAGTAAAGAAGGGTCTGCTCTTCTGCAATTTTCAAGGGTGTTTTATTGCCACAGTACTGTGTGGCTCAGGAAAGCTTGCATACTAATGAGTGTAAATAAGATGAGGTAAGAATTTTGATCTGTGTGTTAAGCAACCTGGTTAGAACACAGCTATTTATGAGGAGAATTTGTGATAAAATATAATTTTGGTGAGATCTTTCTTGGGGGGAACTGTTGAACACCAATTTGATAAAACTTAATCAGATGTTCTAATGTCGTATGCCTTTTTTTGTTTAACTAGCCAGATAAACTATTTATTTTCTTAATAATCTGGATGTTCTCCAAGACTAACATAATTTGAGGATAGTATTTTTTAAATTACTGGAAATTTGTGAATCTTAATGCAAGATTTCTAAAATTAAAATCTAGCATGACTTTTATAAGAATTTGAATAGCTGTTATCAAGCTTGGGAAGTGGGTAAACTGTTTCCTTATGTTGGAAAAAATACAGTTTACTTCATGGGAAGTCTGTAACACATTCTTATGGTATTGCTAATGCACGGTCCTAACTTGCTGATGATCTTGAGAAGGTAAAAGATATAGACAAAGAATGTGAGATTTTTCTTCACTTAAGTGAAATGTTTATCTTACCTTCACTGAGTTTATAATCCTGTTATTTTTGACAGCTCTTTGACAGATTGAGAGAAGAACAACCAGACTTCAAAGAAAAAATAATAGTAGTTGTGAGCGAACTTACACAGCCTGAACTGAATCTTAGTAAACCAATCAAGGAAGAACTTATAGAATGCATTAATATTATATTTCATTGTGCTGCTACAGTCAGATTCAATGAAACACTAAGGTGAGTCTAAAATTTTTTTGACCCTAGTCTGGTAAAGCAATGGTGCTCAAAGGGAGGGGGTGAATCAGGTGTCTGCCCAATACTGCAAATATGGGTAGAAAGACTACAAATAAGCTGTAGCTACACCTATTGTGCTCCCTAGTAATGCTAATTTTTATCCTGGTGTACAAAGGGCAGTGCAAACTAGTCCTTTGGCCTGCCTAGAAAGGGAATGTGCATTTTCAGAGGATAGAGTTTTGTGAGAAAAGTTGGGTGTGAGAGGCTCTAGTGCTTGCTCTCTTACCTGATAAGAAAAACAGGAGATGAAATATGGCTCAGCTTTTCTTCCTGTCTTTTTAAAGTCCCTTATTAATAAAGGAGGTTTGCAGTGGAAGAAGTGGGGAGAAGTAGATGCATTGGGAGAGAGATGAAAACAAGAAGTGGAAGAAGTGGTGCATGCAGCTGGGATTATCATCTCCTTTGACTTGTTGAAGGAGGTAGCAAACTAATTAGTTACCATTGATGTTAATTGCTTTGGGGTAATGCTCCCCTTTCCTGTCCCCCACTTCAGTAATAATGTGAGATAAAGCATTCTGGAACTTAGTAATTGTTTGGGGGATGCTGATGTTGTTGTTGTTAATGTAACACTTTTATTACAAAGAAGTGCTGCTTAGCTGTACTCTTGAAACTTGATAGTACACTCTGTACAAGGAAACTGGTGCCCACAGCAAGCCTGTAGGCTGGAGAGAAGATGTAAACTATAAAATAATCATAGGAGTTAGTCAGCAAGCTGTTACCTGCTGTGAGCTGTAGATAGACACCTACTCTGCTATAGTGTCCTTAAACATGGTAATGAGCAGCAGTGAACCTGGAGTGGAGGTGTGATTCTTGGTGGTTTGCCTTTTTTTCCCCCTTCCTTCCATCCTTTATGGAGCCTTTTTGCTTTCCTACAAGAAGATGCCAGTCTCCAACTTACTGGCCCACTAAGCTTCCAAGTTGTTGACCTAACTCAGCTTGTACTTGGAAGTTCAGAGGTGCATCTTATGAAAGCTTGGTGTTGTGTTGCATTATTTCCTTTCTGTGTTATGGAAAGCATATAATTGGGATCTAGAAGAAATCAAAGGATGCTGGTAAGAAAGGGAGAATTATCCTGAACATTGAGAGATGTTCTAGATTAGGACTGTGGTATATTATTCTAAGCAGAAAATTAGGGCAGTCTCCATGCTGCTTTTTTTGGGTAGGGTGGAGAATTCAGGGATACTTTATATACCCAGCACTGAGGCATTTAGGAATAAATTTCTTGGTTTTGTCTTGCTTTCTACTAATGACATTTCTGTTTAATCAATAGAGATGCTGTGCAGTTGAATGTGGTTGCCACACAACAGCTCCTCTCCTTGGCACAGCGAATGAAGAATCTGGAGGTGTTCATGCACGTTTCCACCGCCTATGCATATTGCAATCGGAAACAGATTGAGGAAGTGGTGTACCCACCTCCCGTGGATCCCAAGAAACTGATAGATTCCCTTGAGTACGTGTTATGTTTTATGAATTTACTTGGGTAATCTGTATCCTTTTTCTTCCTGCTGTTGAGGTTAGGAGCTGTAAAGATGAGGCATTATCTTACGCTGTCCCATAGGTCTGACAGCACAACTGACACTCCCCTTCTCTATAAGGGACAGAGGGTTAAGGTTTATGCTTCCCTTAAGCTGAGCTGAGCTAAGTGGAGGGGTACTGAAGGACAGGGATGCTTACATCTACTCATGATGCCTCCTCTGTGCTGAGAGTGCCAGTCTTTCAGCTGTACGACTGGCTGAAGCAGGAGATGCTGCTAACTTGTGCTGCTACTAGCACTGTGAAGGAGAGGATAAAACTGAGGTGCCTTGAACAGCTGCCTCTACTACATCCACCTAAATGCCATTGCAAGATGAGACTGAGATGCTTAAATACTACTTACTGGTTCTGTTATGTATCCTGAGTGCCCAGACATTAAAAATATGTTTTCTGTAGCTTTAAGTCTTGAATTGGGCATTATGGGTTGGAAAAATGACTTACATTTTGTATTTTTTTGGTGTATATTAATTGCCCTGAGGTCTTATTTAGTAGCTGTCAAACTCTGAAACTGCTGACAATTCATCATCAATCTCTCTTCCTTCTTGCCTTCTTCTCTTCTTGGAAGAGAAATATGAAACAGAAAAAAACTAATTGAAAAGTAAAATACCTACTTAAACTTGTTATTTTAGGTGGAAGAGTGTGAACATTAAAACCAAGTGAGCTACCACCTAGAATGCGCATTGAGCCAGCCTTTTTTATAACATTGACTTCAAGTGCACTTAAAAAATGAGAGATTGCAAAACATATTTTTGAATATCTGACTTGTGGAGAGACAAATGTAACTTAAACTGTTTGGTATGGGCTGAGACAGCTGTGTGTACTTTCGAACTCCTGAGGGGAGGCTTTTGTTAAGTTACAAAAGAGTGATCTCTAGCCTTCACTACCCTTCTTCCTACCCTGTTCATATCATTAAAGGAGTCTGATAAGTGTCCGCTTTGTAACATGACATTGGTGAAAAACAATAAATTCTTTTTTTGTGACTAAGAGACCAAAGCAAATAAAATTCAAGTCCTTTTTTGCAGTGAAAATACCAAAGTAGCAACAGTTGAAGAGCCACATCTTTCTTACTAGTGTGCTATGCCTAAAGGTTATTTTTTTAATATGAACTGAGAAGCAAGACAAAATGGCAAGATTTAACTAATTTAAAGGGAGAAACACTGTGACCTGCTTGCTTCAGGGGTGGTATGTGATTGCTCACCACCACAAAGGTGGAGGGGATGCTAGTAATATAGCTGTGACTCCATTACAGTGGTATCACTTTGTAGATCATAATGCAGGGAACCTGTGTTCCAAAGACTAATTTGCTGTGTCTGCACTCCATCTTTGAGAACTTGGTTGGCAGAATTTGAATTATTGTAAATGGCGTGTTATCAATGAATTACCAGGGCAAAAAATAAATGCTTCGTTTGATGGACACCGAACGTGCAATCCTTTGTTTTTCTGAGGAACTTGTTTTTGTTTAGGTGTGTATCCCTTTTTCTTTAAATGAGAAAAAAATAGTCATGGTAACTTCATCATTTCACACCTCACCCTCCCCCCCACCCAGTGAAACAGCATGCAGTAATTTACACTTGCTTTTTGTTTTGTTTCTTTAGGTGGATGGATGATGATCTAGTGAATGATATTACTCCTAAACTGTTAGGCAAAAGACCTAATACTTACACATACACGAAAGCCTTAGCTGAATCCGTGGTGCAGCAGGAGGGTGCAAATTTAAACATTGCCATTGTAAGGCCGTCCATCATTGGTGCCAGCTGGAAGGAGCCTTTTCCTGTAAGTCCCTGAGCTGTCACCTGACCATCTTGCTGTAGACTGTAGTACTTGCTGTGAGCCTCTTTATCAAGTGACCTTTGTAGAAGAAAATGTCTTGCACCATGAAGTTGTGTCTTGGTTGCTTCTGGATGACTGATAACAGTATATAGAGTCTAAATACTGTCATCAAAGCTGAGCAAGAATATATTTTGGTTGAAAAATGAAAAACACCTAAGTTCCTAGCCTAAAAATACTTGTAAACCTGAATACTTTGAGCATAAAATATTTTTGTGGATAATTGCAATTCATTCACTAAGAAATAAATAAACCTCTCTCTCCGAAGAACCATGGTGTCCTATGTGTAGATATCTTGTCTGAGTCATAGGAGCTTGTTACACCACCAAAACTTTATTTAGCAACATGGAGTTAAAAATCCTTCTCCTCTTAGGTCTCCTTTTCCTCCACCCATTACATATGTAAAAACTGCTCAGATTTTCTCTTGAAGCTGCTGACTTCAGTATGCTCTAACCAAATCCTTTCCCTCTTCCCCTTCCTAACAGGGCTGGATTGATAACTTCAATGGACCTAGTGGTATCTTCATTGCTGTAAGTAATGAATATACTTAATTTGCCCCCTCCTTTTGGGAGGCAGAAAAGCTTCATATGTTTCACTGCTGGGTCTTCTGTCTCTGTTGTTTTGTTCTTCAAGGCAGGAAAAGGAATTCTTCGAACAATGAGAGCTTCCAACGATGCGTTAGCAGATCTTGTCCCAATAGATGTTGTTGTCAATACCACACTTGCTGCAGCCTGGTATTCTGCAATTAATAGGTATAAATAGTGACAAAAGAGAGTACTGAATATTTGGAAATGATATTGTGTATTTAGTAAACCAGTCTTGTATTGAAATCCTCATCAGTGTCCTGCTGTTCCTTCAGGACAAAGGAATCTAAGGTTCTGGCAGGTTGGTCTCAAAGAGTAACTTGCTTATGCCAGAGGAAGACATCACCTACTGATATTGTGAAGCTATGTCAGCAAATTCTTTCCTGGGTCTTGTTCGTAATCAATACAACCTCCAGTAGTGTGGGTGATGACTTCTCTAAAATAATAAAAAAAAAAGATAATTAAAAAAGGAGAAAAATCTGAAAGTTGCTAAAGAAAAACACTGACCATGGGACTGATGCTTTATATAAATTATGCTGTTGAGGGAAAGAATAACTTTGGGCATCTCTTCTGTTGTTTGTGTTTTTAAAAGGCTGTTTTTCTTCTAACTTGCTCTGTTAACTTTTTTTCTCTCAGACCAAGAAAAGTCATGGTGTATAACTGTACAACAGGTGGCACCAATCCTTTCCACTGGAGTGAAGTTGGTATGCCATGTTTCTTTTTTCTCATTAGCCTTAATACAAAAAGAAAATCAAACAGCTTATAATCGGTAAACCATAATGCATTTCTATTTTTGAAACTGGTATTTTAGCCACACCTCTCAATTTTGCAGTGAATTGTGCATTCTCATTAGCTTCCACTGTTAATTCTCTCCCTCCCCCTTCCTCTGCAACATTGCTTCAATCTCGTTTGATTCTTATTGGTATTTTTTTTTTTTTGTTACTCTTATTCCATTATTAACTTAAACTGTGAGAGAGCTGATTTTTCTGTTTGCTGCTGGCATGACATAATACACAGTGTAGGTAGTGTGTGGAGAGAAGTGTTGCTCAGAGGAGCAGTGGTGATGCTGAGTGTAATGCCAACATCAAATACATAAGAAAAAACATATGACTAAGCAGCCCACAATTAAATATTGTGTACTTCTGCATAATTGAGAGGTCTGGTAATACTTTTGCCCTTTTGTAGCTCTTTGTGTTTGGTTTAAGCTGATTCTTGGTTGAGGTGGTGTTTTTAATATTCAGATTGTTGCATGACACTTGAACAATTCATGTACAGGGAAGAGTAGCCTTTAAGGAAATCTGACTGCATATTTTCAACTCTGAGATAGCCTGCCTAGGAGGTAACCCACAGGCCAACAGCTTTGTAATAGTTAATGTGAAGAACAATACAAGCTGTTTGGCAGAGTAAAACCATTTATTAGTTTTCAGTTTTTTTAGAAATCGAGTCCTGAAACTCAGATTTTTTTTTTTTTTCTTTCAGTTAACCTCAGTGCTTAAATCTATTTTACTTGCTTTTGCCCATTTTACGTGGATTTGTAGTTGCAAACATTATTGCTTCAATTAAACTTAGAAAATTGCTGACTTCACTTATATCCCAGTTTGAATCAGGGTATTTAAGTACTGTCTATAAACAACAGCCTAAAGTTATAAGAGAAGGTTAAAAGTAGAGGTAAATTTCTGCATAACTTCTAAAGTTCCTGATCCTGTAATATCTGTTACGTATTGAATTTACAGGTGTTACCAAGAATTTTTCATGGAGTCCCTCTCTACTTGCTTTTTTCTTAAAGCCTAAATATGGATAAATTATTTGAAAATAAAATCTAAAATCACTTCAGATGACTGCAGAGTCCTCAGTCTGTTCTAAAGTTCTTCACACAAGTGAGCGGAATAACCCTCTTCATGAAATATAGATGACTATTTAAATAGCTTTACTTGCTTTATAAACTGCAATTGCTGTCAGTGTTTAAAACCACCAACTTCTAAGGTAGAGAATCGAAAGAGAAGCTGCAATAAAATGATGAAGGCATAAACCACCTCTTGATTATAATAATAAGAACCAGTTCAACAGTATTTTAAGTTAAAAACTTACAACTGGTTTAGTTTCTTTGCATTGTAGAAGAGTTAGGGTGGTTATTTAAAAAAAACATTGCTGTTGATGCTGTACCCTGTAATGTATTTTGAAAAGCATTCCATTTTACATGGTGATTATCAAAGCTGTTGTGCAACTTTTCTTTCCCAGAATACCATGTAATTTCCACTTTCAAGAGGAACCCTCTCGAACAGGCCTTCAGACGGCCCAATGTAAATCTAACTTCCAATCACCTTTTATATCATTACTGGATTGCTGTAAGCCATAAGGCCCCAGCATTCCTGTATGATACCTACCTCAGGATTACTGGAAGAAGCCCAAGGTAATGGTGTCTGCCTCTGCCTTGTTTGTTCCTCTGACTTTTAAATGAAGCTATGCTTACACTGTGATATATGTTGATTTTAATTTTTTGGTATTTTTTTCTTTCCCTGAATGTTTTGTGACTAAAACTCTAATGTTTTTTCCTGAGAACAGGTCCTCAAATTCAAAGTGACTCTGAACATTCTAGCAAAAATGAGGATGTTTTATGTTGGATAGTTTGGGGCTTTTAGTAGTCAGGAGAATTAAATGATATAGAAGAAGTTATGTTTGTTCTTTGGTAATAAATACTAAAAATATGTTGATCCTTACTTTTTCCTACAGAATACTGCGTGAATATTTACAGGATATATCCATTAGAAAATCTAGCAAGAATACCTGAGTTTAAGTTCTACAACCTCCTCTTGTATTACTGTCGGTGTGCAGAGGCCTTTTTAGTGTTTTTCTTCCTTGATGTTTTGCTCATATTGACAGGTCGGAAAACATGGTAAGAGGGAAGGGCTGAAAATATCTTGCCCATAAGGTGGTGGAGAATTGTAAAGAAGACATGGCATGGGCACTATCTAGGTTACTAACTGAGCAATAAGAATCCAGCGGCTGCATTTTGAAGAGTTTAATGACTGGCCTAACAATGCTGCCCAAGGGATGTCTTGGATCAGAATCCTAATCAGTCATTAAACTCTCAGAAGTGGCTTGTGTTAAGGTTGTTGCTTTTATAAACTGAAAATGGAATGGGGGAGGACTGAGCTTCTAATTGCAGATTGTTCCTGTAGATGATACAAATTCCTGGTATGCTGGTTTGTATCATCTCAACATTCCATTCAGTTTATAATATTTAGGATATAGTATTTGGCTAACTAAGTGGTGAAAATAATAGGCTAAACTAAATCATGTAGAAGGTATATAAGCCAACACTTCAATTTGTGTCAGACTTGCCAAGCCGTGTGGCCTTAATTCATTGCTTATGTTACATTTGCACAAGCATTTGCCTTCAGATTATAAAACCTCCACTGTGGTGACAGTGTATTGACACAAATGGTATTCATATGTTGTTTTATAGTCCAGGTCTGTCTTAAAAGGAGGGTAGAAGCTCTGTAACACAGCAGTGGATGAGTAGAAAGGGGCTGTGTAAATGGTTTGTAGGGGAAAACCTCTCAGCTGCAAGAGTGTAATACTTAGAGTAGCAGCAGTGCACTTGGCTGTGCCTGTGTAATAATCCTCCCACACTGAAATGTTTTAAGATTATCAACTCTAAAGAAGATGTTGTACATGAAACATCCTAGCTTCTAGGTTCTCTTGCATTTTTCAAGTTATTTTTAATAAAAATTGATAGAAATTCCCTGACAGGTACGAAGACTTTCATCCCTCACTAAAATAGTTACACTATAAATGCCAACGTCCTGTCTTCCACATGGTTGGGAAGGAGTGCTGCCAGAATCTTGTCAGGCTTTGAAAGGCAGCTGGTCTGCTGAGTATTTGACCAGTGGGAGTAAAATGAGGCTCTGAATAATCATGCAGTTTAGAATATTTAATTTAGTTTTATATTCTAACACTGGGATTGTTGAATCTTGTTATTGCTTTTCCTGGAGTTCTCACTTGATGGTGAAAGATGGAATTTGGGACTTTTATCAGTACTGGTATAATTGGTGACATGAATACTTTACAGAATAGAAAAGAAATATTTACTGATATGGGTTTCCTATGATGCACAAGATTCCAGTTTGGAGAAAAGATGGCAGATTGAACTAAACCTAAACGAGCTATTGTTCAGTCACAGCTTCTAAGTTGGCTACACAGCTCACTTACAGGAATGCAGCTTTCATTAGACAGCATTCCTCTCTTTTTGTAAAGAATTTAAAAATGGGGGCCTGCAAGAGAAGCAGTAAAAGCAAATGAATACTTAGATGCAAGGAAGATATGCAGTGTTAAATCCTAATGGAACAAGCTAGTGTTTAATAATACAAGAATTTTGAGACAGATCTTTGCTCTTGCACTTTTTTCAAGTACTTTGAAGCTGCTTTAACTGATGGGCTGGAGGTGTGTACTGCTGTTGCTGTGGTCATTCTGTCAGTTGATAGAATGTTATTAATTACCAGGTAGCATGTACTCAGAAACTACTAAAGACATGGAAACACTATTGGATAGTCTTAAACTCAATATAACACTGTTCTGAGTGAAGAAGGGCTGGCATAATTAAACATGTGACCTTTTCCACTGTGATTTAGCAGAACAACAGTATAGTAAAAACATAATAAAATCAGCACAAGAAAATACAAATACTCTGCTAATATAGCTGGGTGCTTGCCCTCTCTGTGCTGAGTACACTGAAGTCTGTACAAGAAAAATAAGTAATCACTGTGCAGGTTTAACTGCACTCATCTGGATATTGTGCTGCAATTGAATGAAAATTTTTATCAAGTAGAAGAAAAGGAAGAAACTAGAAATAGATGAGGTCTGTGATCCTTCAGAATGAAATTATTATGTTAATAAAAATTAAACCAAAAAAATTTCCTATTTTCCAAGCACTTATCTGTTGTAATCTTTCTGCAATGGGAAGTCATATTTTTGCACCTCACTTGTGGAAGCAATGCTTTTGATAAAATGGAAATCTTTTTGCTATTTTTGCATCTAGTTGAAGGTTCTTGAATTTAACGATTCTCTGATAGTATTAAAAGGTAAGGAAAGGAAAGGAAGAAATAACCTATATAATATTTCTTCCAAATTTGTACAGAAAGAACATGTACAAAAAGGACTGGCATAATGAAGATTTAATGTTTTATACTAAATAATGCTCTAGCATTGTGCAATTACGTAAATAGTGATGATAAACCTTAGCATTCAAGTTTAAAGGTAGTGTTGTTGGTAGCTTGCCATATATACCTTGTTGCATAGCAAAGCTTATTAGTTGTCTCATTATCTTTAATACAAGGCATAGTTTGCTCCTGTAACTTTGCATAGTGCTTAGCATGACAGAAGTGTGTGTTATTTAAAAACCGTTTGGTATATTTGAAATGTTAAAGCCTTTAAAAGTGCACACCAAGCAGATCTTCCCAGTTGCTCTGAGAAAATAGCATGTGACATGAAATATTTCAAGTTGTAGTTCAGAGATTTCTGCAGCAATTCTTCTGTTACTGCTTCTTAGAAAGCTAAGGGAAAGGTGTGGCTGATGTATGGAGGGAGGTATGAAATTAGGTCTTCTACATCTGTCATTTCAATTTAAATCTTAAAACTGGAAGCACCTTTCATGTAGTTACTGTCTTACAAATCAGAAATGAATTAGGAGCATAATCATGTTAAATAGATCAATACATTTTTATATCTTCACAGTGCTTAAATTGTGTTCTTAAAGCAACCACAGAGCTGCTGGAAAGAAAAGAATTCAGTACTGTGTTTTATAGTCCAAAACTTACAGCCAGATGAAAATCTGAACAAAGAAAAATCTAAAAGCTTGTTCTGTGTTTTTTAGAGGAGTCTTTAGAAAAAAAGTAATTATCTGTAATGCTTCTGCAGAGACTTGCAGACTGGCAGCCTATAGATCCACTGAGGGATCAGTCCGTATTTGGCATTAGGACTGTTTTTAAGCTGGAGACAATAGGTTGTGTGTAAAACTTCTTCAAATTGCAGTTACAGCCTTAAGCCAGGTCACTTTCAATTGCCTGGTATAGAAACAAGCCCACCTAACTTATTGATAATTTAATTAACTTTTTTAAACTTTAATTCCTGTTATGTGCTTCTCAAACTGTTGTAATGTGCTTGGTCTTGATGACAGTTAGGAGTGCAAAAGCAGGAGACAAAATTCTACCTTGAATCTGGGTGAAAGTCACCCAGGCTGGATGCCTGCCACTAATGCTCAGGTCTGGGAGATGCTCAGCAGGGCTGGCCTTTTTCTGTCTTCTGATGAGGAAGGTGTGATGCCACGCTTGGTCTTGTACCGACAAGTTATATTTGGTGTTGGTATTTCTGACTCATAGCCAATGGCTGTCTTTGGAATAACTAACCTTCAAAACTTCACGTTGAGGGATAAAGTTCCATTGTGTGACTTCGTGCTGGGTTTTGAGTGTTGTGTGTTGCCATTCACAGGAGGAATCTGGTGCCGTTGAAGTTAAGGGTTAGTCTGCCATAGCTACACCAGTGTCCACAAAAGGACACTCAATCCTGACATCTCTCAATGTCACCAGGCTGCTTTTTCCTCCCCTCAAAGAGAAGTGCAGTTTCCTGTTGATTCAGTGCAAACCAGCAAAGTGTCACAGAAAAACTTGCTCCACTTCTGCCAACTCTGTCATGGATCGAGCAGCTGAGATAATATGGAGAATTGGATTCTTTGGGCTGGTAGAGAAAGAAACTAACCCTACAAAGAAAAACAACTTTTCCCTTGATGAGTTGAATCAGCTGGTTCTGTGATCAGCTGCTAAATCCAATTTGAGTTGGAGGGAGGGAAAAAACCCTCTTTTCAGCTTTTTTTTTTTTCTGTAATCAGCTTAGCTAAGCTCCAAAATCATATCCATAAGCAGAGACAAAAAGAATCCCAGCAGAGTCTTTGCATTAGTTTAAATTTAGTTTGTTTCTTTTTTAGAAAAGAATGAAAACCAATGTCAGTGTCCAGAAACAAGTTCAAAATATACACTTATCTGATCCGATATTCATTTGCTCAGTTAGTGTTTTGCAGAGGCATAAGGGTTTTAAACTGTAGCAGTCAAAGCACTGTAAAATTCATCTGCTTTTCCAGCTTAGCATAAGGACACAGACTGGAAAGGTTCAAAAGGGCAAGTCAGGTTAAATAATCTTCAGACTGTCAGTGGACAGAGCTCTGCAAAAAGGCTTAAATGCTCTTTGCCACTAATTTTATTCAGGCGTTTTAGCTCTGGGGTCTTTTTGGCTTGTCTAACCAGTGAGATCTTTACTTTCCAAGTTTGGAGTTATTTTCCTAATGTTTTGACATAACTAACATCCATTTTTTTTCAGTTCAGTTTAGTCTTGTTGCACAGGATATGTTTTGGATGCAGAATCTATATTCCCAATTATTTCTGCATCAGAGGAGCTCCAGTTCAACTCAGCCCTCACCTTGCCCAGCTGGTGAAACTCTAAACAGATGTTTGAAAGCTCCTAGAGTGCTTAGTAATAAAATCAGCTGCTGGTCTAACATTTGAAGTCAGTTCTGAATTAGTAGATATATTCCTATGAGGTTTAAGAAAAAATATTTATGTTTTTTGTGCTTTAGAAATTACATTTTTCAGTGGTCTCTGTGGTTTGTGTTGCTCCATTCTGTGAGAAGAGAAAGAGGAAATTTTAATGTTTTAGATACTAAGATGCTAGCTGCTAGTAAAGGACGCTAATGTAATGCAAAATACTTTCTTTAGAAGCGTTGCTGGGACAATGTACTATATCCCTTCTACAAGTATGAGGGCATCAAGATGCATTCAAATGCATTACAGCTTTTGGAGAAAAATAAGTTTGTTTTTATTGATTCTGTGATATTTCTTGGCAAAATTTACCTTCAGAAAACCATTTCCTGGTAGTACTGGGTTCTGCTTTCTTTGCCTTCCCCCTTGTCATTGTGCTTGAAATTATCAGTGTCCTGCTATAAGGATCAAATTGGAAGCAGTTTTCCATTTCTGTGAGATGGAAATACCTTGAGCACCCAAAGTAGGAATTTAATAGCATTAGGCCATGTGGTACTAGTTAGTACTTACTGAAATTGAGTGGCCATCTCTAGCACTGAGACACTGGAAACAATTTGCTTGTCACAAATGTGGAAGCTTTGCATCTGAGAGGCTGGATGACTCATACTTATATTTTTTGGGCCACTTTGGATGGTATGATCAAAAAGAAACTTGCCCAAATTGATCCTTATAACATAATTTCTCTGTATTCCAAGTGGTGATTTTATATAGTTTTTTCCTCTGCATAATAAAGGATGATGGAAGGTATTTCTGCATATTTTGAAGTAGCATAGAACATGATCTGTTATGATCTGTCTGTACCTTTAGATATTTTTCTGGCTTTTGTTGCTAGTGGTTTTAAGCCTTGATCTCTTAGTAAGCATGATGAAAACTTCTGTTCTATCACAGAGATCTGGTCTTGCACAATGTGCAGGAAGTTCAGGGCAACTTCCTCCCTTGTTTAAGGGGAGGTCCTGCACAGACATTCTGCTGTGTGCAATTTGTGACTTCTGTCAAGTCAGACTCTTGAGTATCAAGTGAATATTCCAGCATGCTGAAGGGAAAAGGGTTCCATCTTCCTGTCCCAAACTAAGAGTTACCAACAGAAGACAACATATTGTTCCCCCTAATATAAAGGAAAAAATGGTAATTTACAATTCCACCGGGAAGTAGGATTAGGAAAAAAAAGGACTGTGAGAATTTCTGGTTTATGCAGAGATCAGATAGCCAAAGTTCACTTCAATACTATGCAGAAATATCCTATTGATGTAATATAATATGCTTTAGGTACAGAACAAGATGGGATTTGTGGAGAGGGGGGTAGGGGGTTGGAGGGTAAAAAATGTTATTGTCTATTTCACTCATTTGAACTAATCTTTATCCCTGTACCTGTCCATTCCATGCCTTGGATTGCAGGATGATGAAGACAATAACACGTCTTCATAAGTCCATGATGTTTTTAGAGTACTTTACCAGCAATTCTTGGACCTGGAGCACTGAGAACATGACCATGCTGATGAACCAGCTAACCCCTGAAGACAAAAAGGCAAGTGGCTCTGTGTTGTGGCCATGGAGACTGAGGGGAGCAGCAGCTCAGCAATTCAAGATAGAATAAGGACCTGATCCAATGTGCAGCTAAGCTAGGAGGAGCTCAGCACTGCAGGCTCCTGGGAGATGCTTTCAGATGGGCCAGGGCTGTGTGAAAAGCTACATCAGGGACGTGAGGAGATGAAGAAGGGCAGGGAGAAGTGAAACAAGGATGACAGTTTGTTGACAGAGAAAGAAAAGTTGTTTCTTCCCAGGTTTAACTTTACTCCAAATTTTCCCTACCTCTTCCACCAATAATGACTCAGGTGCCCCAATTGAATTTAAACTTCCCTTCTGCTATGACTTTGGTTAGTATTCAGCAGAATAAAAATTAACAGTTACAGTTCTAAAAACTCAGATTCCCTTATTCCTTTGGAACAGCTTTGTCATTCTTAAGATGTCTTTGCTACTGAAGTGTTTTCCAGAATCAGTTCAGTAGTTACATTCTAGAAAATCTGCCAAATTCCTAAATAAGCTGTCTAAATGTAGGAAATAAAATAACTTTTGGTGATTTTTGTGTGGATGGTATTTCCACCCCTTCCTGTCCTCTTGCCTCCCTAGCAACTTAAGTTCAGGAATAACTTGAAAAACAAAATGCCAGACAGTCTGAATGTTAGTATTTTCAAATTGCTGCTTTTTGTTGGGATTTAAACACTGTCACTGCAGAATCTTGAGATGAGGAAATCAATACATCAGTAAAAAACTTGTGCATCAAGTTCATTATAGTGATCTTCTCTCCTGCAGAAGGCATTCAGATGATTGTACTTAAAATATAAATGTACAACTCCAAGCACAGCTAACAGCAACCTGCACTTGCCAAACTGTACTTGGCACAGAGCAGTGTTTATTTTAGAGCATATTAGAATTATTTTGTTGCTTAAAAATAAATAACATACTAGAAAATAGTTATTTTTAGAACAGAATTCCTTACAGACAGTTGAAGTGGGAAAACTGAGAAGTGGAGAAGAGAGTAATACTGCTGAGGAGGGAAAATAAGGCATGAAGTGACTGGAATTTGGAAGAGATTATGTCACGAGCAGGTGGTTGAATCAGAAATTGAACCTAAATCTGGACTGTTTCTAGGATTAAGGATAGGATAACCTTCTTGTGTCAAAGGCAAATTGGATTTATCTGGAATAAAGACATTTATTTTCATTTAAATTTATAGAGGTGAATTTTTAGGAAACTAACAGTGAAAGCTTTTTCTTATGCAGACATTTAATTTTGATGTTCGACAACTACACTGGGCAGAATATATGGAAAATTACTGCCTGGGGACGAAGAAATATGTGCTGAATGAAGAAATGTCAGGCCTCCCTGCAGCTAGGAAACACTTAAATAAGTAAGTATAATCTTAATTTTTTAAATTTATTTTATGTGTAATTTTATATTTTCTATGCTCTGCATTTGTTCATTTTGCTTTTGCTTTTCCATGTAATGACTAAATTGTTTTTAATAGCAACTGTTTAGGTTCTCCACAATTCTGTTCTAATCCAGTGGTCTGAAGCATTTTCTAAAGTAGTTGTTGTTCCTGAGTTGCCCCAAGAATTAATAGTTACAGTTTCAGTCTGGGATCACTAGTGTGCATACTGTAATCCAGGTTTTTGATTTTAGCCAAGTGTCTTTTGGAAGGTCAGAGGTAAGTGGCTACACAGGTCATAATGGTTTCTTTGGGAGGTTTATGAGAACAATAGCTGCTCTGGGAATGTGAGCTTCTGAGGCAGGTAAATAAGCAGAGGCTCTGCACTTCAGAGCAGGACACTTTGATGTTGGTGCTCTAGGATGACCTCCTTTAGCTTTTTCTCTTAATTCTCTTAATTCCTGCCATTTGGATGGACTGGTACTGTCTAAAATTTTATTAGCACAGTTGCCCTTGTTTTGTTCTTGGCTGATTCATCAAGGCAACTGTAGACATTCTGATTTGTCTCTTTTAATAGTGAAATAAAAATTGTCTTTTTCTGCAATGCTACATCATATCTTCAATCCTGATAGTGCAAAGAGAAACAATCCAAGTTGTGACTTGTGTTGTCCTTCTAAAGACAAGGATTTGCAGCTGTGGAGGGGTTTGGTATATATTGAAATGACAAACACATTTTTGAGAGATGGTATCTGCGATAATTGTAGAAAAAGCTAAACAAGTGTCCCGTCAGGGTTGTTTTGTTGGGGTGTTTTTCTAAATGATAATTGTAGAAATAGCTAAACAAGTATCCCTTCAGGGTTGTCTTGTTGGGGTGTTTTTTTAAATTTCTATTTAGATGCCATTAAAAAGTGAATAGAAATGATCACATAGTTGCTATTCTTTGTGTAAAGGTTCATAATGAAAATGACTCAAGAAATAATCTTGTATTGGAGCAGCCTTAGTTGCCCCAGCTCTAAAGTTTGTAAGTGGATTGTTCAGCAAGAGGTTTAGATTCTGACTTACATTTACTCCGAGATATTAATTTGGTCTCTTTTATTACCATCTAGTTCTTAACTCTAATCTGAACTTGGAGTCCACTGCCTTAGTATTAGCCAGATTTGGCAGCCCAGGGGACATTTTTCTCTAGGGAACCACTGGGTAGATTTGTTCCTCAAGTGTATAAAAAAGTATTGCTTTTGTAACGCACACATTTAAACTGTTTTTCTCTGCAAATAAGATTTGTAAAGCCTTACCTGTAAACAAGATAAAGGCAGTAGTTCCCTAAAAAGAGCTGCCTTTAAAATATAAATTGTCACAATCTACTGAGGCAAAAAGATTGCTCTGTTTCTAAGAAATCAGAGAAAATTCTTGTTGTTTTTCTTAACATTTCCATCTCTACATGCCAGAAGATTGTTAAAAAGCACAGTTGCTCTAAAAGGTCACTTAGTTTATCCTGCACTTTAAATACAGTTCCTTGAGAAGGAAGGAGCTTAAAATTGCAGTGAAGAGGCTGGGTTCCTTGGCTGTAAATGTCTGGAAAATCTAATGAGTTCTTATGATAGGGTGAGGTGGTTTGGTTTTTTTTCTTGTTACTGTCATCAGTGGCAGTTAGAGTTACTTTGACGTATTTAAGAAGTTTTAAATATATGGTGAGGAGAAGGGAAGTTCAGTGTTAAATATTTTCTGGTTGGCAGCCTCCTATAGGTAAGTTATCACTGTGTTGTTGGCTAGAGGACGTTTCCATCAAGCAGCTCTAAAGCAGAAGTACATGTGCTGAGCAACAGGGCTGACTCTGCTCCTTGGTTTTTCATTCTGCTTTTCAGCAGTGAAAAGCTGTCGGAACTCAAAATGTCCCTCAGACATTTTTGGAGGTTCCAGGTCCAGGTCAGAAGCATTTGAGACCCTGGCAGGCAGCTGCAAACAGCTGTGATTTTGAGTTTGAACCATGGAACGATTTACCAACCTTGCAGGAATAACAAGAAGTCACAAAACTTTAGATATTAAAGTAGAAGTAGTTACAAAGCAAAGGGAAGAATTTTTGAGTGCTGTACAGGGGGGTTTTGGTTTTGTACATGGGGGTCAGAGGTTTTAAGATGGATTTGGGATTTGTGCCTGTCCTGTCCTTCCTCTCTCTTCTTCCTCACCTCCATGTTCTTGGTGATGTTGGAACTCACAGATTGGTTTAGAGTAGAAAAGCACCATTTAATATAGGTAATAGGCATTGGGGAAAACTGTAACCATGGAACATGCAATGTCCCATATAAAAGACAGCAGCAGCCCTGGGCGGGGAGAGAAGAAGCAGTCGGGAGTCAGAGAGGATGTCAGGGTGTGTGTGTGCCTCTGCCTGAGCTGTGAGCAAACCACAGCAGCCCCAGAAGAAAATCTTTTAGATAACTTGCAATAAACTGCCTTGAGACCGGACAACAGAGACTGCTGAGCCTTTCTTTGGAAGCACGGGCTGGAGGAGAAGTTTTTTCCACCACACGGAGCCACCCCTGACCTAGGGGTGAGCTCCAGCAAAAAGTCTTCTCTGTTTGTTACTCACTTTTGTCATTACTCATAAGGTATTGCGAGATGAATAAATAAATTGTGTTCTACTCCAGAAGTTAATTTTTAGTGTTCTTTGTATGTTGACACTTAGTGATTGCTTTTGTTTTTGCCCAGGTTAAGGAACATTCGCTACGGCTTCAACACGATCCTCGTGATCCTGATCTGGCGCGTCTTCATCGCAAGGTCTCAGATGGCCAGAAACATCTGGTACTTCGTGGTTAGTCTGTGCTACAAGTTCCTCTCCTACTTCAGAGCCTCCAGCACAATGAGATACTGAGGAAGAGGATTTAGCATTAGGACATCTATGCATATGGTGGTCTAACTGCACAAACCCTTTAACTTGTAATCATCTCACATTTCGTGAAGCATCATTTCATTTTTAACTGAGGTGAGAAATAAGCGGGATGGTATTGGTAACGTTAGCTGTGTATCTTCTGGAAATGGAGCAAATCTAAAGAGCAAGTGCCACGCTGAATTGGCTTAGAAAAGCATTTAGATAACTTTAACTCTTTGACCTGGGGAAGACATATTAGACCACTGACCAACATAACTGTGCAATTTGGAACGTGTTTGATTGGAATCTGCCTTAACATTATTTTTTTTTCTTTTGAGTTTTACTCCACATTGAGCAAGATAAATATTGGCATAGTAGATACTAGTTGCTGTAGACCTATTTATTTGATGTTCTTCTAAATTACAAAGGGTTTTGCAAGTTGCAGAAGTGTACAAATGACTCTGGATCTCCTGAAATAAAATAATTGAGAACTTTTGTAATTTGTCTTTAGGCTTTACCACTTCTTCCTTTGCCCTCAAAGTAGGGATGCATCAATGGTGCCTCCTTTGCATAAAAGAAAAAAAAAAATTAAAAAATGAACCAACCTTCCTTATTTACTGAAAGGCTGTTTGTATATCTGGGCTTCAGAATGCACTTTGTGATTCGGTTCTGTGCTTGAAACTAGCTGTGTCCAACTTGCATTTGCATTGGCGTGAACAATTTGCTACTCTGAAAGCAGAACTGATCCTTGCATTGAGCAGATAAAAGGAAGTGTTACCCAGAGAGGGGTAAATAAAGGCATTGACTGTTTTCTTTTTAATGATTTATTTTTTTTTTTTATTGAGAACACAGAGCCAGCACTTCTTCTGACTTCAAAGGGTAAATGTAATGAAAAGGAATTTATTATGCTTGGTTGCTATTTATATTGCTGGTAATAGTAGCTGGAAGATCTGTAGACTTTCATTAAGAGATACACCTGTTTTGAAGTTGTAAGCAATGTTAGCAAATACTTCAAGAATTAATTTTTTTCAAAATCTGAGCTGTTAAATTTGATGCATGGGCAACACCAATGCACAAGCACACTTTCTCATCCCTGCCCTAGTAAAGCCTCATTTCACTGGGTAAGCAGAGTAAGATGCAGCTTGCTCCAAAATTAAAAGATGTTAACAGCTCTTCCACCTGTCTTTTGACTTAAATTGTTAGGTTTAAACCTGAAGAAATCTGGATTTTTTCCTGCATGTTACTTTGTTTCAGTAGGGAAGACATTTGTAAAAATGGCAAGTTGTAAGAAAAGACTAAATCCTTATTTCTTTAATCCAAGGCAATACATGAAGATCCCTTTAAATTTTGGTTGCACAGATTTGAAAACACTGTAGTGTTCCTCTAATTCATGCACTGACCAGCACTCTTGCCCAGTGCTTGTTCATTCAAATCAGTGTGTACTGATGAGTTTGTTCTTAAATCTGCCTGGAAAGGCAAATAATGACTTAATTACACAAGAACTACATTTTACTTGCCCTTGGTAGTTTTTTGTCCTGTTGAATTAAATTTGTAAAGAACTTATTTTGCTATTCTTCTAAAACTCTTACTTTAAAGAGAGCACCTTTCCTGCAGGTGTATATCTCATTTTGAAATTATAATGGCTTCCTTGTTGAAGCTAAATATTCTGTAGTAAGTAGTTCAGCTGTAATTCCTTTTTAAAATTCCTGGTGTATATATAAAGCTAGTGCTGAAAAGCCTAAATGGTCTAGGACCACACCTTGTGTGAGAGACCTCTGACTGTGGCTGAAATCAATTAAGGCTTCTGTGCTTGGAGATGTTACACTTTAACAGATGCAGTAGGTGTATGACATTTTTAGCTGCCTCCCCAAGTATCTCACTAGACCTGAAAGTATGCTTAAGCATTCTTGAATTATAGACTTTATTCAGAGGGGCCTCCTGCCCAGTGAGACCCCTTGTCCCATGTTGGCACGTGGCTGAAGTTTGCTAAAGATAAGTACATCATACTCTGAAAGTTGTTCTGTGAAACAATCCACTTAGGAATTTTGGTTGTTTCTAACTATAAACATAATACATGAACATTTTAACATGATACTTCTAATGCTGATTTGTTAACACCGAGATAAACTATGAAGCCAATGAACCCAATACTTCTGGTCCAAGACACTGCTTAGAAATTTAGTATTTTGGATGAATAATAAGGAGAGGGATTACTTTAAGCATAAGCTTATTTAACCTCTACACTAAACATTTGCCAATTTAGAGACCCATTTTTTCCCCTCTTTGGAGACTGCTGTTCTGTGCCCTGTTGGTATTTTACACCAATTCATCAGTCATCCTATTGAACTGACAGTAGAGTCAATGTCACATTTATTCTGCTGGTTTTGTCACTTCCTGTGCTCGGTCTGTGAAATTCTACCTGGAACTATTGGATTTTTTCCATATGGGAGTCCTGTCCTCCTGCAGTTCTTCACACCAGTGATTGCACATAAAGGATGTTGGTTAGAAATATACTGGAACTATATTTTGGTCCAGGAAGGCAGACTCAGTGTTTTGATTAGCAAGTTACAGGAGGGTTATCAGCTGGTTAATAGGAAGAGGAGCAGACTGAAACAATATTATCACTGAACTGTTACTGGTTTTTAAATTGGGGACCAGGAAAAATAAAGACATTTTCCTATGTTTTTCTCTGCTGTAGGAACAGATGTTTGGAAACAAATGATAGATCTGTGAGCTTTTATAAGACATAAACAGAAATATTGGGTGCCTTTGTTTGTAAACCAAAAATAAACAAATCCCTTGAAAGTGTTGTTAGTGTTCATTTTTATGTTGTTTAGTCTAATTTGTGGAAAATAACCTGATAATTTAAATGCCATCTTGATATACATTAACATGATCTTTTCCTTTGTGAGAAACTGAAAATCACGTTACTGATTCATGTGCATTTTGAAAAAAGCAAACCAGAAAAACTTCACAATCACAAACCAAACCATAAACCCCAGAAAGCCCACTAAACCCCAGAATCTAAACCCTCATGAACTGATATCAGAACACATGGTGAGGTATCCCTGGTCATGGTGACTGCTTTTTGTGTGTCAACCTCTTTTTCCCTCGCTGTCAGTGCTTGTTCATTTGTACTATTGCTTTCACATTTATTTAAATAGCATGAACCCATCTGCATTTTCATATGGTTTAGAAAAGGTACTGTGGTTTTGCAGGAGCTTTAGGATTAACGTTTCAAGGAGCTCCAGTTATTTATGGCATCTGCATTTCGTGCTGAGGGAGGGAAAGGTAGCATTAAGTTAGTGCATCACCAAAATGCTGTGAGTTTTTGGTTTTTATTTCATGGAATGTTCACTTTTCACAGATTCCTCCTTTTTTTGGTCAGGAACACAATCCTAAAGATCTGCATGCTGTGGTTTGAGGTCTGCCAACTTTAAACTTAACCTTTCCTTTATGACTAAAAAACCAAACCAAGATGGTTTTTGCTGGTCTCAAATTCAAACTTGGAAGCAAAGAGCAGAAAGGTTTTAAGATGCTGTCTCCTATGTCTTGTGCTGTTGAACATTTTGCCCTTTCTTCATAATACAGTATTAAATCCTGTGTTGTTGAGAAGCAAAGAACAGGTTTGTAAAGGTAACTTGGATTGAGAAGCACCCAGCACCGAGCTAGGAAGTAAAACTTCCCATAATTGTACATATTTCCCAGCCTGTTGAGCAGAGATGAAAACAGAAATGAAGACAAGCCACCAAAGAATCCCTGCTCTGGAGAAATGTATTGAAGTGTGTTTTTGTTTGTCAGTCTTTGTGCTGAAGCACAAGCAGTTTTTGTCTGGCCTGGAGACATTTGCTGTGTGTTTGAGTAAATCTCCAGAAGCAGTGGGATTGCAATTGTGAGCTCTGATTTTCAAGATGTGTCCTACCATCATAAATGTAGCAGCACAGGTTGACAGGTCTCACTTAGCACTTGCAGTTGCAGGTTTCCTTCCTCTCTTGTGGAGCATTGCTGAGCCCCTCAGGCAGCTCTGGCCTCCTTTCTGCCTGCAGAGCACTTCCAGTTAAAGGTTGTGTAACCGAGCTGCTGCTCTGCCATCTCAAACTAAATTTAACCCCACTGCACTTCCAAGATATTTATAAATGCTTTTCTCCTTCTTGTTACCCCAGTGCTTTTCTTCAGTGAAGGAGCTTTGGCTTTCCCTGCTCCACAGCTATTGTGACTCACTGATAGGTAATTAGTAATTATGCAACTGTCTCTTCTGGAATATGGAACAATGACAGCTCTGAGCAGCTTTTATTCTTACTATGGGAAGCAGGAGGAACCGTGACTAATTGGGGAGGGCACAAGTTCCAACACATTAATGCACTGGAATGCTCACAGCCATGGGCCCTAGGTAGGGTGAATGGGACTTTTTAATTCTTGATTCAGTTACAGGCATTAACCTCAAATGCTGGGATTGTTACCATAAGCCTTTAATATCATTCTAATTGAACTGTTAGACCTTTGAGGATTGTGGTTCTCTAGCCACTCTCACTTCTGGAAAATTTGTGGCCTGACGTGGAGAAGCAAGGCCTCTTTTTCTTCTTAATGAGCATATGCAAAAAAAGGAAACTTGCCACAGATCTCTAGAAGTTAAAAAATGAAAACCACAGTCAATTACAATGTTCTGGGGTGTAGAATGAGCATTAAATCTTAAACTGCCCTTGCCCCTTATGCTAGAAGTTTCTGTTGTGTCCTCTGTGTAAAAACAGCAGTCCAGTCACCAGCAGCAGAAAGGAGCTGTGCTATTCTTGTGTTCATCAGCCAGCATTTGATTTGCCACCTCAGTGAAAATGATTCAGTACTTAGACACTGTTAACTTTTGTATGTCAGCCTTAATCCACATTCAAAATGGCATAATATAATTCAATTATTTTTATCTTTATGAAACTCAGCTGCTCATCCTTTCCTTCATTCCTGATGAAATTATCCCAGAACTCGATGTCCAGGACACAAATAGTTGTGCTTGCTGTTTTAGGCACCTGCTTGGGTGGAATTCAAGAATCTAAAGCCAGGAGACTTGACTTCCTCTAGTATACAGCTTTCTCAGTATGATTCAGAATCATAAGGCAAATGCTTAAAATAAGCAGAGACTGCAAAAGCAGTCACATTGTGGGGTGGGAGAGACCTGTGGAAACAAAAGGAAATAGTTAAATTAAGGCTGAAGGAGGCTGAGTATGGCTAATATTTGTTCTCATGTATTCTCCAACTGTGTGAAATCACCTTTACTTTGAGAGAGACTGGTTGGGGTTTTTTGCCTCTATCTTTCAAACCTATCTTACCTTTCCTGTTTCATAAAGGCTCTCCCAATTTAGGTCAGAAATCTGCTATTTGTTGCACACAGCATGTACCTGCAGAATCTTGTGCTTGGTAACTAGGGGAAGGGTTCAAGGGAACTTCAGGCCAGATTTAATGTAGGACTCACAATAATCACCTTTTTCCTCTGTGTCACTTTGCAACAGTGGCAATCCAGTAGGCAGCTTCCATGTTCAAGCCTTGGGTTCCATGTCTTCTTGCTGAAAAAGTTTTTAAAAAGGAAGACCTGGACTCTGGATTTAAATATGCTTCAGTAAATTCTGATACTGGAGTATTTTATGGAATGAACTAACTCTTCAAAACTCTTGGCTCCTTTGTATTCCTTCCCCAACCCAGATGCTGCCATTGGTGCCTCTGCTCTTGCCACCCACTCAGCTGACTTGAGACAAAAAGATTGGATGCTTTTGGCTGTAAAAACTTCATTGATGCCAGGCACTGTAGGGAAAATGCCACTTTGGAGTTTTAATACTACTAAATTCTACTTCTTGGACACAAATGAAAGGCTTCTAATTTGCCTGGGCTAACACATCAACTTTTAAGGTTACTTAGCAAGCAGAGCATGTCTCACCACTTTTCAATCCAGGTGTGTGGTTTTAAGTCACAGCTAATCTCTCCTTGTCAGTGACACCTGTGGTTTTCCTCTGATAAATATTTGATTTGGAAAGAAAAGCATGCAAGGTAACTCCCACTCTTGGTGATTCTAATTGAAAACCAAGTCTATCCATTTTTAATAGGAATGTGCTGCACTTAGCCCAGTAAGTCACCTTCTGCACAGAGCAGCTGCTGCTTTGCTGGTTCCTGCATTCCACGTGGTTTCTGCATTTCAGTGGATGCTTAGCATCAGTATAGGAGTTTAAAGAGCAGGAAATGACTTGAAATTCCATGGGACATGAGGTGACTGAAGATATTGTAGGGGCTTCTTCTCCAATAGTATTCTGTGAAGGCTTTTTTATAGCAGTCCTCTGGTTAGAGAGACAGAACAGTTCCAAGTTTGCAAGTGTTAAGCAATCTCCCTGTTTTATCAGTCTCTGGCATGACTGCAGGGAAAGTACTGATAGCTAAGCTGTTGGTAGAAAATGCTAGTTATGTCTGAATTAATGAGCTGAAATATTTTTTAATATATCTTGGTAAAAAAATGAAAACTCAAAGGCATAGAATATGGAAGCAGTTGGTTCTTTTCTCATTAAAGTTTGTCCTAACACCTATCAAATAACTTTGCTTCTAATTAGAAATGAACTTTTTTAACCAAGTGAAAAAACATCTGCCAGTGCTTCTTGGCACTTCTTTTTTCCTTTGTTTTGTTTTAGACTCATGCAGTCTTGTCACTTCAGTCATTCTGGTGGAAACTTGGGGTTTTTACTTCCTGTCTTTTTGAAATGTTATTATCCTGGGAGTCAGCAGTGATCAGTGTTCCTGTCATGGAAGCTGAATGAACAATTTGGGAAAAGATGTTTCTTTCACTTGTGAGAGCTTTCCAGGTGCTTGGCATGCAGGTTTAGCAGTGACCCCTTTTCTGGCAGGCATCTTTTGGGGTTAAGCTGGGAGTATGGTGGCGTGGTAAGGTAAATTGCCTGAAAAGCCATCTCGTCAGGCACTTCAGAGCCAGAACAAACACCCCAAGTGAAAAGCCAGTGTCACCTGCACACTCCCAGTTACACCCTTCATAATCCTGAGAGGTTGTTGTCACCACACTGAAATGTTTTTTGCATTTGCTGTCATAAAGCTATTAAAACATGACAAGTTGAAGATGATGACTTGCATCCTGAGGGATGATTATAATCTTTATGATTATGGTTAAATCTTTAATCTATGATTATAATCTTTAAAGCATGAAATCTTAATTTGGGTCATCTTTCTCTTAATTCCTCTTCCCACCTATGCCACATAGGTTGGCTCCTAAGTTGAGATCACCTTGTTGTTTTTAGAAACCCGGGTGGGAGAGTTTAGAACAGGTAATTATTAGAGTGTGGTGCTGCCAGAACACACAGGTACTGCCTGGGGTTTTGGAGCAGAAGGAGGAGGAGTTCAGCTGTGCCTCAAGTGATGCTGAAAGAATGGGCTGCTACCACCTGAACCTGCTGCCAGCCTTCCTGCCCAGCGTGTCTCCTGTTCCATTCTGGGGATGATGGCTGCTGAGAGAGCAGCCTGAGAGAGATGATGGCTGCTGCATCTTCTCAGTCACCTTCCAGAAGCTTTCTGGTTCCCCTCAGCAGCAGCAGTTTCACAGGATCCCTTAGGAAGTCAGGCACAGATGGAGATGGACACAGAATGCAGGTGGGAGATGGTGGAAAATGGGAGGAAACATTTCAGCCTTATTGCAGAAATTACTGCTTGAGACTTGTCTAAAGCCTTCTGCCCTGCTACCTCATGATAGAAAGAAATACTTGTGCTTGAAAGGAATGGGAAAGTGGTAAAAAAGGGTCTGATTTTATACAACTGGATTAAATAAAACTTGC